ACTAGTTCATTTCATGTAACAATATAAAAGCCTAATAAGCCCCAAAAGACAGTTATGAGGTATAGATTATCAGAAGATATTATCCAGCTGCCCCACCTCACTCCTGCAGCATTCAGAACTTGGCAGTTCCCATGGCGGGTGGCAACACCAAACTTAATGCAACTGCCTGTACTAATACACAAAGGGAATCAACCCTATGATGGTCTGAGAAGTGGAGAAGTTAATTTATACCAGAAGCTTGACAGCCCTAACTCCAACTCACAACTGCAATTATTATTCATCATAAAAATACCGGGTTGTTAAAAATGGGCATGCAAACCTTGGATCTCTGCAAGGTCCTTGCTCCCCATGCCCTGAACTGGATAGGGCTCATCTTGCAGGTTGTTTATGAACTTTATTCTCTCCACTTGCAAAGGCATCATAAAATTCTGGATCTATGCTCACCTGACCTGACTACAGAATTCTTTTGTTTAATAGCCCAGTACAGTTATTCCTAGTCCTTCTTTCCTTTGTACAAATAATTGTGAAAATACTACCACTCAGAGGCTAATGTTTTAGGGTCCCATCTTTATATACCATAGCGACACAATATATGCCAGCAAACTAGAGTAAGCTTAATAAGATGTTTATAAAATTAATATTTCTGAAGATACAGGATTTATAAATACTGTGCAAGCCATAAAAATGTTATGAAATGTGAAAGTTTCAATATAACTTCCACAGTTTCCCCTTCTTCTTCTTCTTTACAAAAGAGGAAGGAAATATATCAAGAATGTAAATTTTTCATTTGTTGTCATAAGTTTGTTTTTATTTAAGAGCAACTGCAGTAACTCTGATGAGCACAATGTAAATTCCAGTTTAGGAAACCACCACCACCCAAAGTCACAGTGGAAGGAAACACTGATTCTCAGGACAGGGTTTCCCCATCAGGCTGCAATGGTCACTTCAGGGCTGGTCTCATCAACTGTCAGGAAAAGGGCAGAAGTCCCACAGAGGGCATCTTCTGACGAGTCTTTCACAAAGCACAGGTAATGATGAAGCAGACCACCTCTCTCTGGAGTTCCAGAGTCCCAGGCTGCCACAGGGACATGAGGCTCCTGAGGAGCTGTGTGGCAGCCTGAAGTCCTGAGGAGATGGAAAACCTTTGGTGCTGCTGTTGTGTCCCTGCAGCGGTCGTCCAAGAAATTACTCAGTATAAGAACACACCTCATAAGAGCATCAGAAAGGACCCAAGTCACAGCTCACCTAGGGTTTGAAACAAGGTGGTGCAACAGCTGAGTTTCTTCACACTTGGATGCCTTTTTGCCCATTCTGCTAATATATCAGAGGCGAGTGAAGCCACCAGAGAGAGCTGCTGTGCTTCACATGGTATTGCTTGCACTGGCTGAGCAGTGCAGAAGTGCTAGAATTAGACCCGGGATGCTCTCCGGATCGCTGGATGTGACGGGGTGGTGGAGAGGGTTTAATCTCTAATAAAAACTCCAGACAAAGTCAACCCATCTGACACTATTTGGCCCATCAGCAGTGCAAGTAATTTACAAGTCCCTACTCGGGTTTATGTATTTGGGGCATCTGTTTAGTTTTTATTACTTCTGGCCTTGGCTCCCACACTCCTTCACAGATCAAATAACTGCTTTCCCTATTTGCTAATTCCAACAGCTGGTTATTACTCACCAGACTCCTGCTATACTCGCCTGGGGAAGAATCATAAATAAATGTGTACAAGCAAACAGATGCTGTCATTTTAAAAACTGATCCACCTAGTAAAAATGTCCTACTCAGGACTCAAGTAGTGAAGCACTGAGCACGTGTCCTGATTGTCATTTTAATAAGATCCAAAAACAATCCCAGGACTTTGTTCAATAATTCAAATTAGTAAATGAGGAAGGAGTGTTGTAAAAGAGAATATTACTACAAATAAATAATTAAATTCTGAACATGTCAAACACCTGCTCTTTCCAATGACGACAAAGGCAAGATAAGATACAGAGCATGGTTTTTGATATTGAGTATAACTAACTGCTTTTGCACTAGTGGCAGACAAGGTAACATCAAATAACCGTGGGTCCTGGAATCTATGACTGTAAACAGAAGAGAAATACAGATGGTTTATTAAACTTTATCATCTCTCTTAATTGTGTGACATTTTTATTTGGGTTTTTTTAAGTAGGTACTTTCTTTCTGAATGTCAGTACTAGGAGAAAGTGAGCTGCCGGGAGCATATTTAAAAAATACATAGACTATAAAAGAGAAGAAAAAGTGCTTTGCAGACTATACCGCAGAAAGCAGCAGGGGAAAAATCCTGGTACCAACTTTTCCTCCATGTTTTAAAAGGGGCATCTTTCTGCAAGGTTAGGCAGTTTGGCTTCCACAATCTTTAAAAAATTTACTTCTGATGAAAACAGCACAAGTCTTAGTGATGGTGGCATAGTCCACAGGGAAATGGAACTGTTTTTCACATCAATTTCTGCAGGTTACACAGATGACAATAATTTTTATTTGTTGCCAGCAGGAATTAAATCATCTCTTGTTGACTTAAAATGGAAATGACTAGCACTGAAGTCATCCACTTCCTTGGTCAGACAGCTCACCAAAAATAAAATCTGCATTAGTTTACAAACATTTCAAAACTAGTACGCATGTACTGCAAGATTAATTGCTCTGATAGTAAAACTTCCCAATTCAGCTTTCACAAATCTGTTGGGTTTCTTTCCAATAAAGACAATTGCAACCAAATTGCTAAGATACAGTAGGATATTATGAGCTTTTAGTGGATTTTCCTCCTAAAGGCCAAACACACTACAACTAGACAATACACACCTGAAAACCTATCTTTATTAGCTTAGCAGATATACATCATCTCAGACTGCTCAAGACTACTGATGCTATATCAGCATTCAAACTATTGTATCAAAACATGACTGACTAGAAATAATTGTCTTCCAGCATATGCTGAAAGAGAAACATTGAACCTCCCCAAATACCCAAAACCTAAAATCTACTCCCAAGTGATTCTTCATGTATAATAAAACTGATAAAGCTCACAATGGCTTTAATGCCCTACTGTTGCACTAGAGATTACGCGTTCAGAACTTGGTGCCATTTAAAATACCAGAAAGAAAATCCAAATCTTCAAAATTAATACTTAAACAAGGAAAATGATGATTTAGCAATCATGTGTTAACCAACTCGAAGAGGAATAAAAGTTAATATAAATGGCAATAAAAATTGGACAGTCTATAAGCACAAAGCTAGCAACACTTGCTAGTATCAGAAATTACAAATATTGCACACAAGGTCTAACAAGTTTTCCTTGCCAGTTACATACTTTCTCCTGTGGCAGCATATATTAACATTTAGCAATCAAGGAGGAGAAAATTCTAAATGAAGGTGCTAAAATCACACAGTCACAGGACAAATCTGAGGTGCCAAGAGAAAGGCAGTTAGAAGACAGAGAGTAGACAGGCCAGCATGATAAGCCAATGCAGCGAGTCTCAAGTGTGACAGAAGAAGAGGAAGTCGTTCAAACAAGACAGCTGGGGAATGGGGCTGAGGAGACTCACAAGCAGCAGCAGCGACAGGAGGACTCAAATCAACTCTTTTTTTTTTTTAAAGCACTAGTGACTGAGCATGGGATAAGGAAAGAGTGTTCTCTCAGCAGGAAAGGTGATGATTTTAACTTTTTCTGTAAATGTAAGATTTTGCATCAAGTCTGAAGATTTCAACCCCAAGCAAGCAACACTTTTAAAATTTTTATGAGTTACAAATTCCTCATTTCTTGTTATGTTTCTTTAGATTTTGGTTCGTGATCTTAAGGCATTTCTCAGAGTGGCTGAATTTTAAGTAAAATAATATTTTCATTGCAGTCAGGTATTAAGTACTGAAAACACATTCAGGGCACATTATCAAAGCAATAAAAGATGCCATGGAAAGTGTGTTAGACACACAGGAAGCTTCCACACAGGAAGCACGTATTAGGCACGGATTAAAAGGAAGCAACATAAACCACCAAGGACACTGCCTCACAGCAGCCTTCATCCCTGATGCTTCTAGGCTCCTCTCACGTTATTCAGATCAGCACGCAAAGTCCCAGGTAGGCTTTATTTCTAATATTTAAGAAAGATCAACATTGATTAGAGTATCTCTTTGTCTTCCAGGAGTCATCTACTCGTTCATAGCTGTCCCACTTCTGGAACAGAGAGATTTCTGAAGTGAAACAGCTACCTTCCTCATACCATCACTGTACGGTTAACATGTAGGCTGCAGTATACAGAAAACTAGATTGGAATCTATATGTTCCCATTCAATGCAAACAGCATTGTCCATCATACAAATGCTAACTGCCAGTAGACTCGCTGGTCAAGACAAGTCTACTGGTCAAACAGCGCTAACGAGTGCAGTGATAGGATGAGGAGCAATGGTTCTAAACTGAAAGAGCATTGATTTAGGTCAGATATTAGGGAGAAATTCTTTACTGTGAGGGTGGTGAGAGCCTGGCCCAGGTTGCCCAGAGAAGCTGTGGCTGCCCCATCCCTGGAGGTGTTCAAGGCCAGGCTGGATGGGGCTTGGAGCAACGTGGTCTGGTGGGAGGTGTCCCTGCCCAGGGCAGGGGGGTTGGCTTTAAGGTCCCTTCCAACTCTAACCATGCTGTGATGCTGTGATTCTGTGACATTACACTGCTTATGGAGACCCGGGCTACAGTTTTACAGGGCTTTTACCTCAGCAAAAATCCAGCCATGCCACCGAGAGCCACGGCCACGCTTCCCTCACCCCCTTCTGCTCCTCTGTAAAATCATACACCGTTCTGTGAGGAACCAGGCGATGAGACGGACCTGGGCTAAAACTAACCTGAGAAAACGTCTATTTTGTACTCCAGAAGAGGTCTCCATCCCCGTTCGTAAAGCCACAAACACAGGAAGGAACGGGATGGCGAGTGCGGTTCCTGCAGAGCAGCCCGGCAGCGGGGGAGGGAGAACCGCCCCGCCGGGGC